AATGGTGCTCATGCTGCAAGAAGACCTGTTGGCCAGGCTAATAGGAATCTTGCGGGAGAGGGGAATGGCGCAGTAGCTGTTCCACTTGTCGAGCTGATTGGAATGCAGGGTCCAGTGTTTCATTTGGTTGAGAATGCCTTTACTGTAAGTTCATGTTTCTCCTCCTCTTGGTGATGTATATTTTTTAGATTCTATTTTCCCTTGTCGTTCGCTTTTGGCCCCTCATAAATCTTCGTAATGTGCATTTTTATGCAGGTTCTAGCAAGCAATGTGATATTCCTTGGTGTGGTGATCTTTGTGCCCTTCACATTAGGACGGGTTATATTGTATCATGTGTCGTGGCTTTTTGCTGCTGCTAGAAGATCTGCTTTGACCACCGCATCAATGCCTTTCACAGGTACTGGACTATCATTGGAAGATATAACTATGAAGAGTGCGTTGACTTATGTCTCAAATTTGACCAACGAGGGCCAAGAAAATGGACTGCTTCGTCGACTCCCATAAATTATAAAGGTTTATGGAAGTGAACTGAATCATCAAAGCTCCCATAAAGGAGAGATGCTGCTGATCTCTTGAAAGGTTCTGCTGCTGGATCATCAAAGCTATATGATGTTACAACTCTGACTTTTGGGTACATGTTTATAGTCTTTCTGGTGTCTCTTTACCTCGGTATCTCTTCTATAGTATAAGCTGTACTATCTTTCCTTAGGCAGTTCTTGGCAGCAATGAGGCTTGGAAGCAGAGTTGCCTTTTTTGTGATCTTCATGCTTGGGGTCTGGCCCCTGATGTGTGGGTGGTTGCTAGATTTTTCCACGGTTAGGATGTTTGGTAAAACAATGTACCACAGAGTACAGTTTTTATCAGTTTCTCCACTGGCAAGCTCACTTGTTCACTGGGTTGTTGGAATCATGTACATGCTGCAAATAAGCATGTTCGTCAGCCTTCTTCGAGGGGTACTGTGTTATCCTTGCGCTGTTATCTAATAGTTTTATTCTAGAAACGGGTTTCTTTTGCTCTGTTATCTAATATATTCTTCCTACTTTTTTGCCAATGTAGGTTCTTCGCCCTGGAGTTTTGTATTTCCTTCGTGATCCTGCAGATCCTAATTACAATCCATTCCGAGATTTGATTGATGATCCAGTACACAAACATGCTCGTAGATTTCTGCTATCTGTTGCAGTGTATGGGAGTTCGATTGTCATGCTTGTATTCTTACCAGTCAGACTTGTGATCGGAATGGCTCCTTCAGTCTTCCCGCTTCAGTCATTCTGATGAGGACATCCAAACCATACCAAATTGGAAGCAAACAAAATCAGCTGGTTTGAGCATTAAACCAACCGTACTGGACCAGATTGCAAGTTTTGGAGAGTTTCAGCTTATCAACATGTGGTCCAGCCCAATATGGAGTTCACACAGTCATTTGATCAATCAAGAAGTCTCAGCTCATGGAGAAACACCTAGGAGAAGACCCGGACCGAAACCGCCTTTTAAATCCATTATGCGGATCTATTTGGAGGTAAATAAGGAAAGCCTCTATTTCCCTTATCAAGATATGTTTCCATACTTCTTATGGGATCAGATAGAAGCTTTACCACACGAGTCTTGGTGCACCTTACCACACAAGAACCTGCTTAATCATTACTTGCCATTTTTGGAACCAAATGAGATCAATCAGCAACGGCTCTTTCTTGGACARTGCTGCTGCGTMTTGAAGTCATATTCAGTGCATCTAGACGTCCRAAGATCGCATCACTTTCAGRCCAAGCTTTCAAGACTCAAGCATCAACAACTTGCCTTATATGGACCGATTTTCMCTTTAKTATTCCAACGGCRCTCTTATTTATTTTCGTGCGYTTTGTTTKTGRMTTTGTAGCCATTAGAACGTTGTAACTGAGCCTATAAAAGCTCAGCTCTTGATTCATTCTAAATTACCCTTGATCATAGATTAATACAAAGTTTCTAGTTTTTTCTTTCAAAGTAGTGTCTTTGAAGATTGTTCTTGTTTTTTTGAATAAAAGTGTGTGATTCACTTATATTCTTTAGAAGCCACGAATTAAGTGTGTTTGTGAGATTCAAACATCCTTATTCGTCCATTTGATTGAGCGAGCAATCACTTTCCTTCCATCTCTACCATCGTTTCCACATTCTGCAAGTTTAGGCGTAGAATCTCTTGAGCATCGAGTGGTCTTAGAATTGGAGTGATTTCGATCCTATATCACATTAGAAATACTAAAAAATTGTCGAAAATATTCAGAAATTACCCGAAAGATTTATAATTATCTCTCTTTCTTTTTTTATTTGGTTCAATTTAATTATTTGTTATTCGAATTATACAAAAATACCATGAACAAAATAACAATCAAAATTTTGTAATAGTTATTATAATAACATAAATTGGTTATTTTTACCGAAATGTATTCACAATATCCGAATTGATGAAAAAAGTAAAGAAAAAAACTATAAAAATTACAAAAACTGCATTAACATACCAAACTTTAACTCTAAATACATTTAAGTTAGTTTATGTT